GGGCGCCCCGCCCCGTATAGCAAAAACCCCCCCAAAAAAAAAAAAAAATTAAATCTGGGGCTGGCTGGTGGCATGTGATTAAGACACTAGATTCCCACGTGGCTCCCCACAGTTCAAGTCCTGGACCTGGCAGCTTGCTTTTTCACTTTCCCCCTCTCTTTCTGGTCAAATTAAAATAATAATAATTTTTTTTTCTGTAGGGTACATGTTTTCACCAGAGAGACAGAGATAGAAAGTGAGAAATCTTCCTCCGGGGGGTGGCCACGCTGCAGTCCCTTCTCCTCCATTCTCCCCTTGGGACTTTGGGCACACATGCACACATGACTAGCATGAGTTTTTAAGTCACAGGGTTCAGAATGCAAACCACAGTTGACTATGTGGGATCCTAGCGACATAATCATTATGCCATCTGCTGGTTCCCTAAAATAATTCTTTAAAACTTTCAAATCTGAAAAGTAAATAGTTTATATATTTTAAGTGGAAGACCACACTGAATTTGGCATCCAGAACTCACCCAGGTGACCAGGAGGTGACATAATGGTAACACAGCTGGGTTCACACGAGAGGTCTGGGGCTTGTGACCGGGACCCTGAACGGACAGGCTGTGCGTCTGTGTGTGCGTGGTCTGGGCCAGCTGAGATGATGGGGTGGACGGCGACGCAGGGACCCTGCTGTGGGGACTGGCTCTCTGTCTCCCCTCTCATAAAATTAATTCATTTTAAAACAGAAACCCTACAGCTACCCCTGGGCCGGAGTGTGAAGGATTTGCAGCTGGCTAAAGCCAAAGCTGGTGGAATCTCTTTTCCTTCTTTTATTCCAGGCTGACAGGGAAGTACGTGGGCAGACAGCCCCTGGATGGAGGGACACCCCTGCTTTTAACTGCCAGCTGTGCATGTGTAGGGTGCACCCCAGGAAGCAACCGAGGGGCCAGATCGTGTCACCTCACCTCCTAAGAGGAGCAGAAACGCACTCGCGTGTGCCTCCTCACTCACCTGTGCCCACGTCAGGGAAGTGAGTCAGACACACACGCGCACGGCGAGGGTTTCTAGCTCGCAGGGGGTGCGTCTCTGTTGTTGGCACTAAGCTATTTTCTCAGAGAAAGTATTTCTGCTGCATCTAGCTTCAAGTTATTAGAAGTACCATAGGTAGATTTCTCTCTGTAAATGAGCCTTTTTTTTTTCTTTTAAAAGTTATTTCTTCAGAATAAATTTCCAGCAATGGTTTCACTAGTTCAAAGGGCTTGGACATTTTTATGGGTCTGAATATGTAACGTTATTTCCTCCTTGCCCCTCAAAAGAATTATACCGACCTCATTACCATAAACCATGAGAAAAAGGTACCTAAACATTAGGCTGAGAGGTTTTTTCATAAGTTTTTTACATTCTTTTTGTTACCTTACTATGTGTATTCATGTTTTAGTTTTGATTTCTTTGTCCTGGTTAATCATTTTTATCAATATGCTAGGCACCATTTTTCTGTAAGAATAATTTAAATAAACCCTATGAAAAAAATATAAAAACCTACCCTCCATATATGAGATATCACAGAATAAATGATTAAATTTCCAGTGATTTCCTTTCAGCTATGTGGAAAGGCACAGGAAATTTAGTTATGAAAGAAAATAACACTATTCTAGATTTTTTTCAGCATGTTTTAGTTTTGTATATAAGAAATTAATTCAAAGAAATAATGGCTTGTTAGCATTGAGGAAAAATATTTTTTCAGAATGAGAAAATTTATTTACCCCTTATCTTTTTTCCTTAAAATTGACTTATATGGAATTTAAAAATGTTATTGTAAGGAACTGGATGATAAAATACAAACATGACAACACTCGAACTATCCTTCAAGGAGTTAAGAAAGCCATTGGGTAAGTGACCTACCTGGCCTCACGAGGGACACCAAGCTGATGAACACGTAGAAGCTCAGCATGTGGGCACAGGGCGGCGACTGGCTTCTCAGAGCCTCGGTTTCCACTGGGCTTCGGGCTGCAGCTTCGCTGGCTCCCCTGATCCCGGAGCTCAGAGCCAGACCAGAGGTGTGGTGACACAGGAAGTTCCCCGAGGACTGACTGCAGGCCAGGCAGGTCCCAACCCTCGCAGGATCTTTGACTCCTCCTCTTTTCAATAAAAGGTCAGGTACTGTCTCCCTGACACAATTTTACGCCTCTCTTAATATTATAATTGGTATTTCCAGGATGACGAGTTCAACCTAGTCTCATTCTTTGTGGGCGGGTTATTAGTCGTTTGGCTTGGTGTGTTGAAATCAAGTGTGATTTGAGATCTTTTCCCCTCTCGTTCTCGTGGAATAAAAGAACAGATCTGGTGAGCATTCTGTCGGCTTGTGTGCACACACTCATTTCTCATTGGGACGTCTTCAGGGATTTTTCCTCCTTGCCAGAGGGTGTGTGCACTCCCGGATCCAGAGACAGAAGGAGAGAGAGAGCGCCCCCTGGTGGAGTGAGGCCGCTCGGTGATGCCTTTCCTCATTTCTCCATCCCAGAACTGGGGCACACACGCATACACGGCCAGCATGTTTTTCAAGCTGTCCCGGCTGGGATTTGACCTGTGGTCAGTCATGTGGGTTCCAACCTCCAGTGCACAGTGCTTAGCCACTGGGCAACGGGCCTGCCTCAGTCTTTACATTTTTGTTAAGAACATTTTATGAGGTCTAATCATTTATGTATATTTGCCCAACTTTATCTATGTTCAGATTAAATAAAACTTTCTTTTGGTGTTATATATCTTCATTATTATTTCTTATTTTTCTTCCTTTTCAGATTTTGCCATAGAGCACATGCGCTCGCTGGAGAGAGACAGAGGGAGAGAGAGAGGGAAAATGAGAAATCACCTCCCGAGGGAGATGGCCATGCCGCAATCCCTTCTCCATTTTCCTCTTGGGATCTTGGGCAGGCCCACACACATGCCGGCTGTGTCCCCCATGCGGCTGTATCTGAGACTCAAACGGCACACTTGGCCACGTGACATTCAAGCATCCCGACCACCACGCCATCCCCGACCCTCTAATAGTTCTTTTATTAAAGAAAAAGTAAATGTAAAAACTTAATCGAGAACTGTGCCAGGATCTATCCACAGTGTTCAGTAACTATTGATAAATTGCGTTCCGAGAGAATGTAATTCCCTTTCTGGTGACAGTGCTTGCAATATTTACTCAGTCTTCCTTAGTCTATGAGCTTAAAAACAAATGAAAAAATAAAGACACAAACAAGTTAAGAATATAGTTCTATCCCAAGTATCGGGCAAATGCTGCTACGTTTAGCACTGCCTACCAGAGGGGTGAGTCTGCCTCTAAACTGGGTATAACGAGGTGTTCAGCTGAAGTCCCAGCGCTGTGCGTGCACCCGGTAAGTGCCGAAACACTTGGTAACAGGGCTGCTACCTGACTGGCCGCATGCCTCTGCCTTTCGACCCGTCCACTCTGAGGGCAGGCCGCACGCATTGGAAGTGGGGTCCCAGTAGGATGCCAGGACCGGAGGGCAGCCTAGAGCCCTGAAGTTTCAGGTGAAAGACTTAGTCAGCACTTGTTTTTTAAATAACTACTTATTTCATTTCATTTATTCATTCTTTTTTTTTTTTTTTTTTTGGAGAGATTTTCACTATAGGGGGCGTGCGCTTGCCAGACAGACAGAGAGAGACATAGAGACAGAAAACGGGAAATCACCCCCCAGAGGGGATGGTCATGCCGCAATCCCTTCTCCTCCATTCTCCTCTCGGGATCTCGGGCACGCACGCACACGCGCCCAGCGTGAGTTTTAAGCCACCGGGTCCAGGACACGAACCGCGGTCAACTACGTGGGAGTCCAGCGACATAGCCATTACGCTAACTGCTGGTTCCCTTCATTCATTTATTTTAATTTAACCAGAGAGAGGGAAAATGAGAAAATAAGCCGCCAGGTCCAGGACTTGAACCATGGTCAGCCATGTGGGAACATCCAGCACCTTAACCACCACACCATCTGCTGGTCCCCTCTAGTCAGTACTTTACCTGTTTTTGTTTTTGTCTCCTGCTTGGAGAAATGAGTGAGGAAATGTAGACAGGGATACTAAGTAGCTGACCCACTAGTTTTCTCCTTTCCCACTTGGTCTGAGCTTCACTTATTTGAAAGCAACTGTGTCTGGGAAGGAACGGAGAACCGCCTCACATTCTTGTTAGGAATGCCTAAGGAATGTGTCCCTCCCTGTTGGAGCAGGATAAATATTTGTTGAGGTCCTATCAGTATTAAGTACCATGCCAAGTGCTTATCTAGACATGCGATGTACATTTTCCTGGACGCCGTCCAAGTAAAAGAACAAGAACTGTTTCTGTTGGTATTATTAGTGGTTTTCCTGCTAGTGGGCACGAAAGTTCCCCTAACTCCTAGCTACTTACTCCTTTCTACTCCCGGAATTCAAAACAGCACAAGAATCAGTGGGAGAAACTATCCCTTCTTTTTTTGTTTTTAAATAATTAATTAATTAATTAATTTCACATGAGTTTTGCCAGAGGAAGACAGAGAGAGAGAGAGAGAGAGAAAGCAAGCCACCAGGTATGGGACTCGAACTGCAGTCGGCCATGTGGGAATTCCAACACCTTAACCACCACACCACCTGCTGGCCCCTGCCCCTTTTTAATGAGAAACATCAAATATGAGAAAACAAAGTATTCTCAAGGAAGGAGGGAGGGGAGAGGAGAGAGGAGAAGGGAACAGGCTAACTACGGAGGGGTGGCACGAAGCTGGGGCTGGATAGTGAAGCAGTGGTAAGCCCAGGCTCTGTGAGGCCAGCCCACAGAGGGAGGTGCCAGGCACACACGCAGACTCCTCCCTAAACACTCCAGAGCATGCGTGCCCAGCATGCAGGGCTGCCTGAGCTGGAGGGTCTGGAGAATCACCCGTGAAGACGCTGTCGGGGCTGTCTGTCTGCTTGTCTCTCACATTCATAGAAAAAAAAAAAAAAAAAGAAACAAACTTAAATATTTTTAAATATTTTATTTAATTTTATTTATTTTAATTTGACCAGAAAGGGAGAGAGAGGAAGAGAGAGAGAGAGAAAGCAAGCCGCTAGGTCTAGGACTCGAACCATGTTTGGCCATGTGGTAGCCCAGCACCCTTAACCACCATACTACCTACCAACCCCAAGAAACTTAAATTTTAAAATACCAAGGATAGTACAAAGAGAGATTTTTAGAGAGATTTTTGTTATAGGGCACAGAGAGAAACAGAGACAGAGGGAAAGTGAAAAATCGGCTCCCCAGCAGGGATGGCCACACCACAATCCCTTCTCCTCCATTTAGAGAGATTTTTGTTATAGGGCGCATGCATTCGTCAACGAAAGAGGGAGAGCAGAGAGACAGAAAGCGAGAAGTCACCCCCGAGCCCCAACCCCGGGATGGCCATACCGTAATCTCTTTTCCTCCACTCTTTCTTTCTTTCTTTCTTTTTTTTTGGAGAGGTTTTTGCTCTAGGGCATGTGCGCTCGCCAGACAGAGAGACAGAAAGCGAGAAATCACCCCCCCAGGGGGATGGCCATGTCGCAATCTCTTCTCCTCCATTCTCCTCTCAGGACCTTGGGCACGCACACACACATGCCCGACGTGAGTTCAAGCCACCGAGTTTGGGACTTGAACCATGGTCGACTACATGGGAATCCAGCAACATAACCGCTACACCATCTGCTGGTCGCAGCACAAAAAGTTTTCTGGTGACAGGATAGTTCTGTATCTTCGTTGTGGCAGTGGCTACGGAATCTGCACGTCTAAGACCACAACATTATGTACTGCACTCACTCACACAGAGACATGGATATGAAAACAAAAAATCTAAATGAGATTTGGGGACGGTAGCAATGACAATTTCCTGGTTTCAGAAGTGCACTAGAGTTAGGTGTGTGCCTGCCAGCAACCTCTGGAGGGTCTGAGGAGGAGAAGGTCCTCCCAGAGCTTGGCGAAGGGCCAAGTTCACAGACTGGTTTTCTGGAACCTGCTGCAATAAACATGTCCCCGAAACATGACCATAAACATGGCCCAGAACTCAGGATGTTCCCAATAAAGTTTTACATTGAACCAGAAGGCTTTTCTCCCTGCACATGCCGTGTTTACTTGCCCGCGTGTAACCCCAGAAGTGGAACTGTGTAAAAGAACTGCCGACACAAATAAACTTTGTCAGTTGCTCCCAGCAACTGTCCAGCCTTTTCTTTCAGGGTAGGTTCTTCCAAGTCTCGGAGATAAACTCCACCAAGGTGAGCTGTTTCAATCGGGGAAACTAGGTGAGGGCACATTAGAACTCAGTACTTCTCGCTCTTTTTTTTTCCCCCAGATTTTTGTCACAGGGTATGAGTACTTGCCAGAGAGAAACAGAGACAGAGGGAAAGTGAGAAATTGGTCCCCCAGCAGGGATGGCCACACCACAATCCCTTCTCCTCCATTCTTTTCCTGGGATTTTGGGTATGCACACATACGCGCCTCGCGTGAGTTTAAGCCACCAGGTCCAGGACTTGAACCACGGTCGACTACATGGGAGTCCAGTAACATAGCCATTACGCTAACTGCTGGTCCCTTAAAAAAGAATTCTAAAAGATGGACTAACTGTTATAATCATTTGAAGGAATATTTATCCAAAGTTATTTCGAGGGGGCCAGCAGGTGGTATGGTGCTTGAGGGTGTTGGACTCCCACATGATTGGCCATGGTTCAAGTCCCAGACCTGGTGGCTTGCTTTCTCACTTCCTCTCTTGCTCTGTGTCTCTCAAGTTAAAAAAAAATAATAATGATCAAAATTAATAAAGTTTAAAAAATAATTCTGAAAAAAAAGTTTAAAAAAAAGTTACTTTGAGGACTTCATTTCCCATCTGCTAATCAGGATTTTCTCAATCCCATAAATAATCACAACTCTAGAATGTCACAATTTCCCTCATTTCCAATATAGTATTATATACTTTTTCTTTTTTTAGATTTTTGCCAAAAGACACATATGCTTGTGGTGGTGGGGAGAGGAAGGAAAATGAGAAATCACCCCCCCTAGAAGAGATGGCCTTGCCACAATTCCTTCTTCTCCAGTCTCCTCTCAGGATTTTGGGGATGCAAGCACATGCACCAGGCGTGATTCTCAAACTGCTGGGTCCAGGACTTGAACCGCACAGTTGGCCATATGGGATCAGTGCCTTAATTATGCCACCTACTGGCCCCTTTTTCTTTTTCTTTTTTTTTTTTTTTTTAATGTAGAAATCACTTGCTACAGAGAACGGAGTGAGAAGAGGCAGGCAAGCTTCCAAATCCGTGGACAAAAAAAACAGGTATAGACATGTACTGTACGGGGGGGGGGGGGACACCACTGGGCCGGGGGGACACACGGGGCATGG